CACACCCCTAAATGCATTGAAGCAACTGCCATGTGATTGGTTGATTAGATAATTGCATTAATGAGAAATTGAACAGGTGTTCCTAATAACCCTTTAGGTGAGTGTATATTACAGTAGATACATACAGGTGGTGCTCCTCAACATACGATGGGATTATGTTCAGATGAACCTATAACAAGTGGAAAATATTACAAATCAAATGTGAATATATCATAGTGAGGAATGAGGGATGACAATCCACTATGCGGTTTAGGTACAGGGAACTTTCTTAGAAACAGAACTCAAAAGGAAAAAATTAAGAGACCACAAGGGGTCTATACCAAGTCAGGTAGACAACATTGGAATTAACTAAGACTGAGCTGAAAAGAAAAGGAACATGAAACCAACTGAAAAAATGGGAGGGTGTTTACAATGAGGGGCATTAACAAGGAATACAGGAACATACAATCCAACACATACAGGAAAAAGGCACGGGCAGGTCACACATACAATGACCAACTGAGGAACAGGGCAGACACTCCTCGTTTAATGACCGAGTTCCCTTCCTACGACTAGGTAGTTAAGCAAATTGGTCACTAAACGAGGAGTCGCCCGTTACTGATATTTAAAGCATACTGTACTGGTAGTGGGTTTGTCAACCATCTTTAGATATTGTTTAAATGTCACCTTATAACATGTTTAGTATATTTATAAATTTTTATACAGTGGTGTACTGCATACTGTAATAAACTTAGGCTTGCATACTGTAAATACATGCGATCATTTTTATTTATTCTGAATAAAGAAAAGGTCTAAAGAAAACTCCAACTTGATAACTTTCTTTTAATTTCCATATCTCAAGTTCATCAAATTGGTCAACAAAATTTTCCGCTGCTTCAACATCCCCTCTTGCTGCCTCACAGCTGGTACTCTGATTAAACAGGTTGAGTCTCCAACGATACAAATTTATAGACAACATATGTAATCTTGGAGATTATGAACGCTACTGCAGACACACGGTGCTGCCATTTCCACAACCATGGAAACTCATTCCATGAAGTTCTCTATGCACTGGTCTTGAGCTAATCTGAAGGCTACAGGAACTTTGTAGGTCTGTAGCTATTGACTCTGCAGACAGCTGGCGACTCTGCACACTGTGCGCCTCCGCATGCGTCGTCCCCGCTCTCTGATTTTATGTGGCCTACCACTTCATGGCTGAGTTGCTGTTGTTCCCAATTGCTTCCACTTTGGTATAATACCACTAACAGATGTATCACCTGCCACATGGCTGCACTCAGGTTCTCACCCCTGAGGTGGTTTGTCTTGTGATGGGTGCAGTAATGCACTGTAATCAGTGCATGCTCCTTACACACTGTAATCAGTGCATGCTCCTTACACACTGTAATCAGTGCATGCTCCTAACCCCTCTCTC